CAGAGGACTTAACGTGTTAAATCTTGGAAACATGTTTAATGATAATTGTTTTCTACTGCCTAAGTAGTGTGATACCAACTAAACATGTCATACTTGTTTTGTGATGGGTTTTTTAGACTTACAAATGCCAACTCGAAAGTTTGACATTTTTTCACATTGGTGAAGATATTGATGGTTCATGATCTGTAATCTAGTGCCACCACACCATAATTTTATGAATACAGCTTGGTGATTATGATGATTCAAATTATTTCAGTTTGGTCAAGTATTGTACTCTAGAGGACAATTTTGTTCCATTTAGATTATTTTTTGTAAGTTAGATCCTCCACCAGTCATTCTCCTGATCTGGTAGCAGTTTGCTTTAGTTTGGCATAAAACAATGTAAGTGCTAGTAGTTTCCATTCACTTACATTTTTTATGCTAAACTGAAGCAAACAGCAGTTTGTGGCATTTTGTAACCAGCCCAGTCATTCTCCTGATCTGATAGCAACTGGGCTGGTTACAAAATGCTTTTTTTTTCAATGTCCTAACTTTGAGGAATATGGCAACCAACACAATTTTACTTAAGGGTGGAATATCCCTTTAACTTTACCTCTTTTTTATGAAAAGCTGCACATATCACACTTGAATGTATTTTAAAGTTGTGTAGAGCCATTTCTACAGAGCCACTTTACTCAAACATTTTCCTAAGAGCTCTGGAGATCAACCTTTTTCTAGGTGGCCTTGCTTCCAAATATAAATCTTCTGGATTGTGATGTAAAATAACAACAACAAAAAAACATAAAATAAATTCTAATTAAAATGCAAAGTTGTTGATTCAGGCCCCCACAACAGTGGCTTAATTCACAGCTGTGATTAATTGTCAAAATGAATGTGGTGATGATTAACTGGGGCTATAATGATGCCCGCAGCACATTTAACAGATGGTTAAAGGTCATTACAGCTGTTATTTACAATGTTATGTGTTGCACAAAGTCACCCTGGAACCCTCTGCAGAGAAACTCTTCAGCCTTTTAATATTTAATACATATGAATTAGTTTTTACCAGTTTGTTCGTCTGATTACCCGGACCTTTTTGCCGTGCACTCATTTCAAACATCAACACAATTATGAGTATCCCTAAATTAATTAAACATGCTTCCCTGCCTCATTAAGTGATGTGACTCTCAACATGATGAGTAAATGAGTATTCCAATATGACAAGCTGAAGTGATAAGGTCAGTGCTGCTGAACAAAGACGGACTATTTTTCCGCCGCTCCACAAAGGACTAGATTACACTCGTGTTAAATAAACAATGAATTAGAGCGAGCGAACAAGAACAGATTGATTTGCTGCTTGCAGCAAATTTAATCTTACATCGTAAATGAGGGCAGGAAAAGAAAAAACTTAAACAATGATAAAATACAATGGGCGCCATAGTGAAAGCCGCATTCGTTCATGTCATTGTCAGTTAATGTAACATACTTGTTACGAGCCTTGACTTCCTATGCCTAACGAAGCTTTTAAATTTAGATGACTATAAATGTCATGTTCTTAAGCGAAGTGCAGCAATCTGCAAATTGGATCATTACACTTGTTTCCTTCACTTTTGTTAGGAAGTTAACGGTGAAGGGGAGTATATCACTGTGGTGAAACCTGTTTAATCCAGGTGTCAGAGGTCAGTTTTACATACACAGAAGAGTTATAGCTAAATAAAAGGGCCATTTAATTGTGTTTTGTCCATTTTGATTTTGTGCAGATTCCTAAGCGCTAACGCTCTCTTCCAGAAGAAACGTATATGTGCACACCTCAATGAACACTTGGCGCAACGTTGCAGAATTTTTAATACTTCAGGGAAAGGATTTTTTAGCTGTGATTTGTCCGTTTCCACAAATGTTCAAAAGCATGAATGCGGCAACCGTATACACACACATACACACACACACACACACACACACACACACACTCCTGTGGATACTATCAGTGGTGCTCAGCTGAGGCTCCAGGCCTCTCCGGTCCCCATGGCGTAGCGGTGACCAGGGGAGGAAGAGCTTATCTCGGCCCCATGCCTTGGCTTCAGGAGCAGGGAGGCAGATGCCATGCAGCCCCCCCGGTGTGGCTTGTTTCTGCGGCCAAAGCGTATAGTGTGTAACGCTTAAGGGACAAGCTTTTGAACCAGACAGTCAATCTCATCTGTGCGGTTGTGTGCAAATGTGTGTGCTCATGCAAGCCACACAGCAGATGGAGGTAAAAGCTTTCAGTGTGACCAACTCCCACTGTCCCACCTGGACCCGATCAGAGCATTTGGTACTCGCAGACACACATGTGCACACAGATTCAAATGTGCTCAAACCAAAATCAGCTTTTCTCCTAGGATAGTAATAAACGTGGCTGAATGAGGTTTGGAGGTGCTGTTTGTTTTCCTTCAGCTCAGTTGATACGAGCGCGGCCCTTGAAATGCAACGCTAGACATGACGATGGAGATGATACAGAGGTTGATCGTCGTTCACGGTAAACAACTGACTACCAGAACCGGCGAGCTCTTGCGAGGCAACAAAAGATGAGAACAGGTGTTTTGGAAAGCGCAGATGAAAAAAGTGCAAATGAGTTTTAAAGAGATGAGGTTAACAGCTTTGAAAAGCTTCTAGCGTCTCAGCGAATTATACTAAGTGTTCACAAAACACTGGTCTAAATATAGGACGAGAGCACATCACAGATTAGCTCGCACAGCGATGGGTCTATAATACAGCAGAGCGGAGCTCCGTCTGTGATTGGCAAGGCTTTGAACCCTACCGCTCAGATTCAGTCCACAGTGGCTAAATATCTATAGGAGCCTGACAGCGGATCGCTGTACACGAACCAAAAAGTAAAAAGGGGGAGCTTTATTTTTTTTATGTATGCTGAACCTGTTGTCGCGTCAGGCAAACGGGGGGACTGCAGCAGAATAAAAATGATGTCACTGGAGTTCATTTCAGAGTGAGAGCACCTTCCTCTTGTCTGTTTGAAGATATTAAAAAGAGAGTGACATTTTGGCTCTCCAAGCAAACCAGATCACAGACGCTTGCAGCCACTGAAAACCTCCAGTGGCTTGACTTGTCCTGTTTCAGCAAAGACTACCGCGCTCTAATACCGAAGTTTAGCCTTTGATGTCTAATCACACATTCACACATCTCGCGCTCGCACGAGCACAATACATTTGCTGGAATGAAGGGACTGCAGTGAATGTATGACCCATTTTGCAGAGGCAGGGCTTTGCTTTCGTAACCGTGGAGCAAACGTGCATGAAAGTGTAAGTGGCATCTTTGCACACAGGAATACTGCTGCACAGCGAGCTTTTAAATCTTGAAAAGGGAATGATGGGCTGTTTTTCTGGTGAAAAATGCTGCTGTCGCACGTCCAGTCATAATGCCGTTAGCCATGCTCGCCTCGGGTGACAGGCGAGACGGTGCTGATGGTAGTCACAGGACGCGGGGAAGAGGGGAAATGTTATCGTTTGTTAAACGATTTTAGAGATTCGCGAACGAGGTTTGTTGTTCGTGCTCCTTAAGTGTGGCGACAAGCCTCGAAACCCTTGAACACAACTAATAGTCACTTTTTCACGGTGTTGGAGGAGCAAAGCGGAGATAATGTCTTATGTCGCGATAACGCCTTTACCTCATTCTTGCCGCCTCCTGTTAACGCAGGAGACAAATGGAACAGGAGCATCGCCTTGGAGCCATCCAAACGAGGGTTTCTGCCATGGAGCGAAGTGAAGGAGGAGGAGGAGGAGAAGGAAGAGGGAGGGCAGAGCGAAGGGGGGCAAGTGCCACAAAAATCAGGGAGAGGCTGCTCGACCCTCGCGGCGCATTACGGCGGCAGTCAAGTGAATGTGAAAACAAGGGAAAGCTTTGCAGAATATCGATTTAATGCTGCAGCCTGAGCAGGGGAAGATGCGTGCTTCAGATTACATGCGCTCTATTTCCCACCCATACAGAACCTTGAGTTCCTCTGTTTCCACACTCCAGAGAACCACAGCCAGACACAGAGAGGATGCTCTTTTATGTGTCGTTACCCTCTGCGAAGTCCAACTGTGTGAAGAATCAATGCAAAAATGAGGAAATGGGCGCAGAGGAGTGCAAATAAGAGGAAAACATCATGCTAATTTTCATTTCAAAGAGAATATAAAAAAGGTCAGTGTTCTGGTTCAATACCTATAGGTTGGATTCTACCCTTTAATTAGCTCTGTGTCTCTTTAATAATAAATTGGCTTGGGAACTTGTCAGGATAAAAAATTCATTGTAAAAACTGGAAAGGGTCTTTTCAGCCGATAGTGGTAAGGCAGCTCAGAATGATCCAGCAGCTCTTTCAGAAGAAAAGAGAGTGAAAACGTGTCGAGAACTGCTGGATACTTCTGATGCTTCTTTAAAAAAACACGTAGGTCTCTTTTCTTCTTTGTTGCTTTTGTGTAGCTTGTTGTCAAGAAACTCAAGCAAACTATAAAAAGAAATGGAACCATTCAACAAATAAGAGATTGTAAAATGAACATTTCTTGTACTTTGGTAAAAGGAAATGAACGGATCACAGGGGATGTTTCTCTGTCAACACTGTCACCAGAGCAGAACCGAGCTAAAACAGAACAATGGAAACTCTAACTGGATTAATGGAACTGTCTGCCCCATAATGAGCTTGTTTTTATTTAAGTCTCTATTCTTTATGGCATTAACTAAACCCTACATGTAACATTTTGCCTCGCAGTGTTTCATTTTCAAGTTGATGCTGAACTTGACTTGTGGACTAACCTGTGGACACGTCTTACATCACCCAGGGTCACTTCTCCTCTCGTCCACCAAAAAGGTGCCAACAAAGGAACGACCCAAAAAAACAAAAAGCTCATATCTTAGTAACATTTTTTTTTACTTATGCCCCTTCTCCCGCCCTTCTGGTGAAAATTATGAACACTGAGTCGCACTCACATTCTTGCGCACAGACTGATGAGGAGGCGCCTCCGCGTCCGTCCTGGGCCAATGGCGCACGGAGCAGCCTTATCACACTTGCACGCGGCTGGCCAATGGCGCGGCGCGCCCCGGCTCACATGACGTCTTTCTGTGCGCTCCCTGTCCTCTCAGCGCTCATTCCCGGCGAGTGCAGGCACCACTGAAGAGCTGGCATCGGCGGAATCGGACCACCACCGTCCCTCCCGCGCGGCTGACCTGTCCAGGTGTTATCAGACGCAAACTTGATGTCCTCCCGATGGGACGAAGTGCCCGGCGGTCTCCGAACGCCGCGTCCCCGCTGGAGGAGACTTTTTCTGTGTCCAAACGGACAGACGCGCATAGACGAGACAATAACGCCCAGAAGTTCCTGAGATAAACTGTAAGTGGAGACTTTTATTTTTCCTTAACGCCGTCCTCTTTCAGGATAATCGTTGCATTTCGTGTTCATTTGTAGTCGACTTATATTCGAATATGACTGCGTTGCCACTTTTGCGTCCTGCTTTTTTCTTCTTTTTCTTTTCTCATTTAAAGGAGCTTTAAACATTAAAGAACGTTTTCTAACCATGCATGTTGGAAGATGTTTGACTTTGCTTTTTGTTTTTGGTCCTCAGAGTTGTGTTTTACGCTCCGTGCCGACATTCTTTTGTGTGTCTGTGTGAATGTTCCCATTGTGAGTGTGTGGCTGTCTCCGCGCGCCGCCATAGGATGAAATATAGATAAAAAGCGCACGGGAAACCCGGTGACCCCACTCAGGCAGGCAGGCTGTGCAACCGGTCCACGCGGCTCAATGAGGACAATTAGGGAGGGGGGAGCACAATCCAGGGCTGCACTTCACTTCAGCCTGACAGCCAGGGTGGGGGCGGATATCAAATGTGTTATTTTAAAATGAAACAGAGCAAAATATTGAGTTAAATGCTTTATATATATATATATATATATATATATATATATATATATATATATATATATATATATATATATATATATATATATATATATATAAATTCCAGTCCATTTCCAGTAAATATATGAGGTCATGTCACTTCAGTGAACCTTTTTATTGATTGGAAATTAGGGGGTGCTGAAGGTCAAGGGAGAGGTGTGTGTGTGGGATGTGGAGGGAGGGAGGGGGGCACTAAATTTATGTACATTTGAGGGTCAAAGCAAAACATTGGTGCCCTCTGATTTTTTTCTTCTTTCCTGCCTTCTGCACAATCAGAAAGAAAATGAAGTGGGGGGACCGGGACCATTTGATGTTTTGAAAGGATGGCTTTAATTAGGACCTGTAAAAACTGTCTGCCCTGTTCTGTGAAGCAGCAGTCTGGAGGAGGGAGGGGAGCGAGAGAGAAAAATAATAAAAGCGAAAGAAACGCAAACCGACACAGAAAGTCACTTCAGCGAAGGATTGTCTAATCAAATTTTTATAACCCTCCTCTTTTCTTCTCGTGGCTCCCTCCCCTGACTCCCACCCTCTCTTCCTTGATGCTGGTGGTATGTAGGCAGCGCTCTTATTCCCTCTTTGTCTGGCTGCTGCGTTCTCTACACTCACCCACCCCGTCCTCCCACCCTCAGCCTAACTATTGCATCCACTTGGCTGACCCCAGACACCTGAAGGCTAGACATAATGATCAAGAGAAGTTTCACTCTGTCTGAAGTGCAGCCAGTTGTTTAAGGTTTTCATCTTCTCCTCCCTCCCTTTCTTTCTCTCTCCTATTTTTTTTTTGTTCCTCCTGGCATGGTTCGCCCTGCCCATGTGTCTGCTTCTTTTCCTCACTCCTCAACCCCAATCAAGACACGCTATGTTGTTTGTGAGTGTGTGTCTTTGCGTGCTTGGTATGAGGGTTGCAGTTTCATTGCTACTGTGCTGCTGTCGCTGGATCTTGGATGAGTGTGGGTGACTCACAGAGCTGCAACACACACTCTTGAGGAAACATCAAAGGCTTCTTCTATGCTCCTTTGGGTGTGTGTGTGTGTGTGTGTGTGTGTGTGTGTGTGTGTGTGTGTGTGTGTGTGTGTGTGTGTGTGTGTGTGCGCACGAGTGAGATTTTAGCTGTGTTGTTGTTAAGGCAAGCATCTAGAAGATTTCTTTCTAAATAATTTCTGCTCCATCACTATGGAGGACTTTGAATCTTAAACATTTTCTTAGGTTTTTGTTTCTTTTTTTGTATTAATTTATAGTCTTGTTAAAATATGGCTCATAAACCACCACTAGGACATTTTTAATGAGCAGAAGCCAACATAAACCTACTTTTGACTTAAATAAGGCAATGTTCATGACATTTCTCTGATTGTTAACTTGAACTTGATTAAGATATTGTTGCCATTTAAATCCTAGTTTGGGGCAACGTTTGGGAACTTTTCGATTGTGTTAATTTTTGATCATGGATGACATCATTGTCCTTCTACGGCTTTCGCTAGACGTCAAGCTAGCTTCTAGAAAATGGCGAGGTGGGGTCTTTTGTTGGATGGTTGTTTTTTTTTTTTGCTGTTTCCAGTGGAATATGGTGATGTTTTCGATCTGCTGCCAGTTGTTTTTCTCCACTGTGCCCATTTTTGATAAACTTGTTTGTTAGAGGATTATCCCCTAACAGCTGGAAGGGCTCTCGCCGCGCATCGACTACAAAGTAATCTTCTCAAATAGGATGTTTTGATGACTGAGTGGTGGTAAAATCTGCACAGAGCTTCAGTCGAAATCCTCCCTCTTGTTTTGTTTTCGGACCCTTTGCGTCATGGCATCGAAGAGATTTGAAGTTGTGTCTTCTCCTGCCACCACCCTTTGAAGGGGAAGTAATAAAAAGCTGAATGGGTGCAACAAGCTGTTCCTCCCTCCTAGACTTTGAGGCTCTCTACCTGGAGATGAATAGGAGGCCCCTCTGTATCGAAGGAGGAGAAGGGAACGTTTTATTGAAGGCTGAAGATGTGGGGGATGCGTTATGGCTCATAGACACTTGGTGTGAAGTAGTCTGGTTGTGACATTTTCAGAAAATGGCTGTCTACTGACTCAAACTGCTGTCTTTTAGATAATTCCCAACATTCCCCCAGAAGATGAATCCCGTTTTAAGATCGTATTCATGTGGGTGTTTTGAAAACATTAAAAACAAATTATGTGGTTCAATCTAGCCTGAAGGCAAAAGTTTTTTTTTTGTAGCTTGAAAACACAAAGTCCGCGATAACAACGTTGAACGGTCACAGAGGCACAGATTAGGATTTAAGAAACCAGATTCATGCGTGGAGGAGCTAAGTCATGGTCAGGAATGTGAATGGTGGTGTCATTCAATTACAACCATGCCCTTTCCTTGGAAAAGTCCCCAGCCGTGAAGAGGTTAATTGTTTTTGAATCTTCATCCGAGGGGAGAAAATAGGAGAACCAGAGGGATAATTGAGCCGCTGATAGTTGAGTGGGTTATGGATTACTGTGCCATTCCAAAAGGAGAAAAAAGGAGGTGACCAGGAAAGGAAGGAGAGAAGGGGAAAGGAAGGAAGAGGCGTGAAAGGCTCGCTTGTGAGATGCAGCCGCGGGGGCCGTCTGGCCTCCTTAGGAAAAAGGGAAAACTCCAATCCTGTTTAGCCCACAAGGTGACCCGTGGCCCCTCGCTTGCCCCTCCCTGCTCCAGGTGCAAGCCCTCACTGCTGGCAGCTCACACACACACACTCAACAAGCCCATTTTTCACACGCAGCACGCACTGGGGAAAACACCACATGAAAATGCAGATCTCTTTCTCATTTTCACCCCCTCCCTGCTTCTTTTTCTTCATGCTATTCCATTGTTTGGGGTTAAATATCCAAGTCTACTCATCAGGATGGGGGGAGTGCTGTGAAAATGTTTTTTTTTTATTAGGTGTTTTCCAACCAAGAAGATGGATAATTGTCTTTTAAAAGGAAGTAAATTAGTTTTTTTACATGGTGTAATAATCCCAGAAGTGTAAATCAGAAAGATGTCATGTATAATTACTACAGCGCTTGATATTGCCACAGAAAACCACCTCAGGCCATTAGCAAAAGTTTCCCGATGTTATTAATGGGCGTTAATAAATTTCAAGAAAGCCCAGATTGAATGAGGCCTGTGCATGGCCCGCTGGTTAAAGCACTGTAAGGTTAATGAACCAATCTACATACTTTGTGCTGCCATCTGGGTGGAGTGACGAGGCAGATGCTCCCGACTCTGCACTGCTGCGCCGAGTTGTTCAACATGGAGGAATGTGTCAAGTCCTCAGAGGTCAGCGAGCACGTCGAGCTTCTGGCCAGAAACATTTAAGAATGGACTGCAGATCAATGCTGCTGAAGAGGGGCTTTCTGACCAGGCGGCTTCTGTTCTACGTGCTTGATTTTATTCAGCCCCCGTTTTCAAATGGATGAAGGAGAACGCCTGTTCAACACGAGAACTCCTACGTGTGGATTATACCCTTGACCTGTTGAGCCCCAGGATTGGACCAAACGTGACAGAGGTAATCAAAAAATAAAAAGGAACAAAAATCATTGGTGGGTGCTTGAGACATGGAGAAAGAGAGGATTAGGATCTTTTTATCTCTTTGTCAACCTCGTTGGTCATATTCCAAATAGTTTTGTGGACAATGAGGAATTAAATGAGGTCAGTCAGATATCAGTAAAGCAGTGTGAAAAAAGAGGAAGTTGCTTTTTAAAAAGAACCAAACGATCAGGATGGAGTTGTCATCCAGACCAAACAGTCATAATGGCGTGGTCATCCAAACGAGAGGATCAGGATGGCGTGGACATCACTTTGCCCTGTTTGCTGGGATCAGAAAAGGGAATGACTCTTTGCAGTAAAGCATGTTCAGCCTTGGGGCAGCTCGATTTCACTAATCCCTCTGTTCATGTTGAAATATGTCTGAAAATAGGCTAAATTAAAGAAAATGTTTTCATGTGTTTGGATGTTCTCAGATATTGTGCATATTATAGGAACCGAGTGTTTGGACGGGTAAAATGGGGAATAGGGAACGATTCCTGCTTCATGTACGATGAGGAAAATACCGAGCTATCTCGCTAAACCCCGTGTTTTCCACCAAGGACGGTGATTTTCACCTCATTCAGTCACTTGCCTGAGGAAAATAAAATCACCCAGGTTTTGCGCTGACAGCATGTTAGAGCTGGTGCGGGTGTTTGTCTCAGATTAGCTCTTTGTGCCACTCGAAGAGCGAAAAATAGTGAAGGGATAGGAGCGGTGGGGGTGGGGACAATCCAGACACAATCCCAGTTGAAAGAAATCATTTGCACAATTTTCTGAAAGCAGTATTTGTCCAGTTGGAAGGCGCTGTCACAGCCCATCGTGGAATGTGATTTAACAAGACGTTGTGAGCCACAAAGCCAGCTGAACACTCTCCAGGTAAATGCAGATAAGGTGTTCTCAAGTTTCTCTTTCT